CGTAGCCGTTTCTCAGACAAGGATACCTCTCACATAATCGACTAATCAGGTCCAACAAGTGTTTGCAGTAACCATCCGTGTCAACCAACCGACTGAACTACTTGGGATAAGAACAGTCGGTACCTTGTGAGTTAATAGCCAACAAACATTGACGCATAAAGGGGAACAATCGGTACCCACCGCTTGAAGCCCCTACTACTCAGTCACTCGGCGTCTAAGTATCAACCATGTTTACTTGGTCACTCCTTAAAACTTGGTATGAAACTAAAAAGGTGTTCATATATTACTTGTTCTCACTAAGTTAACACAGCAGGGACTAGCCGGCCCAGACCGCCTAGTTTCTCTCGCTTAAAACCATGGCAGGTAAGAAACCACCTTCCTACTTGGTTAATACTAAAAATGACAGGACCGCCCGCCTAAAGGGGATCCAGTCTTCAAAATGAGATTTGGATAAATGGCCGACTGATCGCCTAGCCTAGAAACAGACAACCAGTCGTCCAGGGGCATAGGCAGTGTGGCTATCTCTTACCTGTCTACAACTATCGGCCATGCAAACAGTCGGTATAGTATGCAACTGGATATCAGAGTTTCGATGCTTAGCAAAATAAAAGCACAAATTCGAAAATTCGAAACATTTTGGCAAAAAGGCGACCTAAAATAATGGTCGCCTAAGTTATATTAACAGCCGACCATAAAGACCGGCATAAATATTCAAAACCCCGGCCCCTTGGCCGGGTAAAAGATACAAAAGAAGCCAGCCATAAAGACCGGCAAAATATTCAGAGCCCCGGCCCCCTGGCCGGGTATGGAAAAACAAACGGCACGTAGGCCGAAGAAATAGAAGACAAAAGCTTAAGATGGGGGCAGATCTTTAACAGTAGCAGCTGCCGCTTGGTCAGCATTCTTCTTGCTTGACTCGCCCTCAGCTGCATCGTTTTTTGACGCATCTACCCCAAGCGGCACTAGGGCCACTACCGGATCCTCCTCCTCCAACGCCTCGTCCTTAGCAGCCGCCAGGATCTCTTGATTATATCTTTTAGAGCACTGGCGATACGTTTTTTCCCATGAGGCAAAGTCGGCATTGGGGAAGAGACGGCCCCAGGTCAGGCGCTGGATCTGAGCCGAGTCTTCCATCATCTCTCGGACTAGATCCTGCTTTTCCTGCTCGGCCTTTGCCGAGAGCTCCGCAGTGAGACTCTTCTCCTGAGTCGCCAAGCGCTCCTTAACGCGCTCCAAGGATTTCTCCAGGGAGTCGTATGAGGTCATTTTTTGGCGAAGAGGTTTCAGCTCGGCCTTGAGATTGTTGATGGTCGTCTCCAGCTCATTATTTCTCTTCTGGGCCTCCTCCAACTGAGTCCGGATAGTAAAGGTAGCCTGCGCCTGATAATAAAGAATATCAGTTGTCAAAATCTCATTTTGGGCAATTTGAAACATTGCCTTATCACAGTTAGAGGCGGCCATAGCTTTAGCAGCCTTTACCTCTTTGTTCTTCCTATCAAGCGACTTGCGAAGGCCGTTCACTCGGAGCAGAGACTGAGTAAAAGGAAACAGGCGTCAGGTTTCAAACAAAAAACAGGCGTCCTGGAATCAAACAACAAAAATATACTAAGTAGACCTCAGCAAGGAGCCCTGCAATTTCGTCTAGGTCAAGGGTGCCGACACCCCTGACCGCCTCTCTCTCAGCTGGAGGGACGGCTTTGATCATGGACTTGACCACCTCGACCATGTCCGGTTCCTGAGGACCGGCTGCATCAAGCATAAACAAGCACGTTAGACATAGTAAAAAGGAAGCAAGTCCGAATTCATAAGGACAGTTCCATACTTCTAGGCGGCCTGCTTAGAGTTTGAGAAGGAGTGGCCGGATGTTTCTCAGCCGCCGCATGTTTCCTGGCAGCACCGGGAGAGCTCGCAACAGTCGTCTTCCGGGTCTTGGAGTCCGGTTGTTGGGAGGAAGAAGTTCTTGGGGTGCCCGTCTAAAAAAAAAAAAAAAAAAGCAAGCACACGGTCAGTATCTGTATAAACCCAACTTCAAAAAGGAGAAAGGGTGAAGGGCTTGCAACTTACCAAGGGCGCCTTCTTGTTAGGAGAGTCGGCTGAAGATTGTTGCATGATAGAGGCACGCAACATAGCCGCCGCAGTCTTGGAGGCGGTAATTTTGCTCATGGCGTCCGCTGCAAGAACAAATACCAAAGTTAATAAAAAGTCATAACAGTAATGCATGGCAAAACAGAGTATTCGACAGGCCGGCTACCTCTTGAGCACCGACTGCTGAGGCCACAGGCGGCCAAAAAGTACTCGTCATAGAGCCATTTGAAGCTCGGGACGCAGTGCAGGGGTACTTGCTCTCGCACCCCTGTAGTAGAGTCGGCCCTCGTCTCTACTTTAAAGAGTCCTTTGTCCAGGATATCTTTCTTAGCTCTTGGGGGAACAGGCGGCATGCTGCGACCGCCTGCCAGAAGAGACGGATCCCTGTTCCATCTGTTGAAGCGCTGGTTCAGCTCCGTGTCTGAACTCTCAATGATAAGGAAGGTTCTTCGCCAATCCTTCCACTTGTTTTCTTTACCTCTTGTCATGAGGTAGCCTCTGTGGATGGTCAATTGATACCAGCCGGTACCGCCTGCCTTAGGGGTCCGGCTGAGGTAGTTCATGTGGGCGAAAGCCTCGATGTTTGGCTCCACTCCGTGCAGTTCGCACCCGGCCACATAGCCGAGAACGTTGAACCAAGAATTTGGGGCTAACTTCCATAACCCCAACTCATACCCATCCAAGATCCGCTGAACAGCCGGATGTAGTGGAAAGCGCAGCCCAGCTCTGATGGCCGCCTCGTAGCAGCCGAAGCAGGCGCTATCGTAGCTGGTACCAGCCGGCCAGACGACTGTGTCCTCTGGATCCGGAACAAAAACTAAAAATACGGGGCCCATTGTGTGGTTCGCAATAAAGTTCCCCACTTTCTCTTGCATGGCCTTGATCCGGCCTTTTGGGACAGTGCAGTAGTAAGGGGTATTTTGCTCTCTCTAAGAGGCGGACGACTCCGCCCAATTTTCCCCCTTCTCAACTGCGTGAGAAAGCCTCGCCTCTTGTAGGCGGTTGTTTTTCTCTTCTGTGTCTAGAGAAGTATGACCAGAAGAACTAGACTCGGACTCGTCCTCTGACGAATCCGAAGAGGACGACTCCTCTCCTCTCCCAAAGGGGCCCGCCTCCTCTCCTTCGATAGGAGCGGGAGAAAAGGTAGACATGTCAACTGTAAAATGGGAAGGGACCACCTTGACCCCTCCCTCAGAGCTGTCGGCGGTCAAGCCGCCTTGGTTTACTTCAGCATCTGGCGCCTGGTCAGATGTCTCACTAATCGGCACCTGGTAGAAGGAGCCGTTTGAGTTTGTAATCCTAGCAGTTCTTTTTGTTCTGGCCATTATGTTCTGCATAGACACAGAGACAGTCGGACTTTGTATAAAGGGAAAAGATTGGTTCGGAAAAGGGCAGGCGACACTCCTAGTCCTAGATTCAGCCGTCCCCGGTGACCGGCTGATCACTAACCTAGGTCGTGTCGTGTGATTCCGTGGTGCCATTTCAAAAAGAAAAGAAAAAAAAATAAAGATAAAAGAGTAAGAGAACCGACGGTTACCTGAACAAGTGAAGTTGGCGAAGTTCTGAAAATCCTGAGTAGCCGGCTTGTCAGAGCAGGCGGTAGGCAGAAAGAGTCCGAAATGTTAGAGCAAGTTCAGGGGTCCGAATGTTCTCTTCAAAAGTTCTCAAGTGTGAAAATGAATGAAGTCAACACACCCTTATATAGGCGAAAATGAGAAGGCGAAGGGTCACTCCCAAATTCAAAATTTGGGCGGGAAAATCTCTCGGCCTTTCACCGAGTGACACTTGTAGCAGGCCGTCGCCTGTTACGGTGCGACACCTGTCACAGGTAACACGTGACCAGTCACGTGCCACCTGTGAGGGGCAAATGATTAGGGGATTTTTATCCACCAATCACCATCTAACACGTGGACCAACCAGGTTCCGCCACGTGTCCTTCACGTAGGCCAATGAGAGCCTGCCACGTGTCAACCAAATATTCGTCCACCATGGACCAGCCGTGACGCGACGCGTGTCCTTCCCATGACACATGGGAAAATGAGCCAACAAGGCCCAATCCTTGTTGGAGGCCCAATCAGCCCTAGGTTTAACCTAAACCTAGAGAGTGGCACGCTTCCCAAGGTTATAAATACCTTCATTAGTCCTCATTAAAGGGGATTACGCACATTAAACACTCTCACCTAGAGAGACCAAATTACATTATTTCTGCATTAATTACTCCTTAATCAAGTACTAACTTGACTGTTGGAGGCGGATCTCCAATCATCCGGAGTATCCGTTTGTTTTGCAGGTACAGGCGTCCGGTTCCAGTCTTAGAATTGTAACTCTCCCGCAGGACATCAAAAAACCCTGAAACAAGTATGATTGGACATAAGTAGCGGTCTATTATGTCTCCATGTTTTAAACGATATTTATAAATGTTTGCCACATTATTTATATGTATATAATGCGGTGAAAATCAAAAACTCATAATTAGAATATATAATTAAATAAAACCTTTATATTTTCATAAATGATCAATCTAAATAATCTTACTCGTGCCATTAGTTACAACATTGTAATGTTTCAATCTACCAAGTAGGTCCCTACTTTCTTTACATTTACATTGTTTTCATATGCTTTTTTTGATTGATATACGATGTAATTAACTTAAATATTTGTTTTCTTACTTTTGAAACGAAATTAACAAAACCTAATCTCACATTTTTATAGTTAAAGAATTTGAGAAATTGAAATATTTACTATTAATGATCCTAGCTTTTAATGATTGTCAATGTGTTTTGTTTAATAAAAGAAAATCATGTACATAGATTGATAAAATTGGATATTCAGTTTTAAATCATGATCTATTTTAACATTATTTTACTTTATATATAACACAATAGCTATCGATTATCAATTTATAGTTGGATTAATTTATTGAAATGCAATTACGATGAACATGTACTAGGAGAGTGCATGCCATAAGTTTCTAAAATTAGAATTTTTCAATTTTTTTTTTCTCTTTACTTGTACTATAATGAATGTAAGTGGAATTAATATATTCTTACTATATATTTTTTCCTTTTTGACAATTCCTTAACCAACTTTTCCCTTCTTTTACACCCTTACACAAATAAATTCAAAAGCGAAATATTTGGCTTATCCCTTAACTCTCCGTAAGCTTCTCAACCTCCTTCAAACAATCATCTTCTCAACTTTATTTTTCATATCCTTTCTCAATATTTTTTCTTTTACACCCTTACACAATTGAATTAATAGAAAATTATCTTTACCTTAACCAATATTTTAACAGACTCAAATCTAGATACAAAAAAGTATGCATAGTTTTCAATTTTATGCACCATCCTCCAAAATTCGTCATTTCCCTACATCATTCTCAATTCTTCGTCGACAACAACAAAAGTCAAAGCCACAATGGTGGACAAAGATCCATGATCCTCGTAGCGAATTCATTACTAGTTGGAATAACCTCTTCTTTATAACATGCCTAGTTACTCTATTTCTTGATCCTTTATACTTTTATGTTCCTACAATATGTGGTTACGCTTGTCTTAACACAAATTTTGAGCTATTAATCATTGTGACTCTTATTAGAACCATTTGTGATTTCCTTTACCTAGTGCATATTTTCTTAAAATTTCGAACTGCCTTTATTTCAAGAAATTCTAGAGTATTTGGACGTAAGGAGCTTGTTATAGATCCTAAAGCTATTGCTGCTAAGTATTTAACGTCCGATTTTATAATCGACGTTGCTGCAATGCTTCCTTTACCTCAGGTATTATTTATGAACAAATTCATTTATAATGTGAAGTCTGTGTCGATGACTATAGTTCACTTATAGTTTATGTCATTATGTGTTGCATCTTATAAATTTCACAATTTTTTTATAAAGCACTAAAATTGCACTACTTTATATTTATAACCTTGTGCAAAATGAGTTCAGATATTTATTAATTTGATTACAGACAATGATTTGGTTTATTGTACCGGCATTAAGAAGTGGAACAAAAGCTCATACAAATCACACTGTGGCTCTTATTGTACTTGTTCAATTCATTCCTCGCTTGTTCGTAATGTTTCCGTTAAACCGGAAGATTGTGAACTCTACAGGAATTGCAGCAAAAAATGCATGGTCTGGTGCAGTTTATAATATGCTTCTCTTTATATTAGCTGGCCATGTAAGAACCCTTAATTGTTGTTCTCCATTATTTGTCTAATTGCTTTTAAGGGAATATCATATAATCAAAATTAAATTTTAGTAGCTAATAATTTATTTATGATATTTAGAGCATATGGAGAAAATTTAATCATTAATTATGTCAATTGGTTAACGCTTTTTTCATGACAATTCACAGGTGATAGGAGGCGTATGGTATTTATGGGCACTACAACGAGTGCATACCTGCTGGACAATAGAATGTTTAAGGCAAAGAAATTCAAGAAAATTTCCATGCAAACCGTCATTTTTTGATATAGAGAATAAAAACCTACCGGCTCGAAAAAAATGGTTAGATAAATCAGACGTTCTTACGAATTGTAACCCTCGGAATAAAGATCATAAATTCACCTTTGGAATGTTTGATCGAATTATAACGGATGATGTTGTCTCTGCTGGTTTCACCCAAACATATTTCTACTGCCTGTGGTGGGGGTTGAAGACCTTAAGGTACTTTCTTCCTTTAGTTTTACTTTACTACTGATCTTAATTGTTTTTCTAATTTGGCATTGGGATTAGTAAAGATTATAATTTTAAAATTAAATAGGCTCACTTTTCAAAAAAAGAAAAATAAAATAAAATAGAGGGACAAGGTAATTAATAATGTGGCAATAAGGACAATAAAATGCTAATTAAAACTTGAATCATGCTTTGAAAAATTCAATTAGGGGAAAATTTGTTAAAAACTTGTATGAAAAAAAGAGAAAAGTAAGAAATGTATTATTGACACATTCACTAAATTAGTGAAAACTAAGATTTTTGGGAATATTTTATCTCAAAATGAAAAAATTATACATGGAAAAAACTATTAAACTTTATTGTTCGGAAATGAGAAGAACAAAAAGGATTGGATCCAGTACATATATTTGGATACTTGATTGTTTATAATACGTTGAAAACTGTCATCACACTCTAGGTAAACTTGACAATTTTCAAACTTATATTATATGAGTGTTCTAACATAAACTTATATTATCATAATTTATCGATTTTTTGTTTATCACAGTTCTTATGGGCAAAATATAGAAAATAGCACATACGTTGAGGAAACACTATTTTGCAGTTTCATTTGTGTGATGGGCTTATTCCTTTTTTCGCATTTAATTGGCCAAGTTCAGGTAATACATTGTACATACTTCTTTTGTTTCATATTAATTGACACGTTTATTTAGGCACATTTATAAATGCAAGATTTTAATGGGCATATCATGCTTAGTTCAAAAGTCTGTACATACCTATCTTTTTGGACGAAAGAATTTACTTGAGTACAATAGGATTGAATTAATTAAATATACAGAGTAAACTAATTGATTTAACAAAATGAACTTAGTTAAATCAAATAAAAAGATAAGTCGAACAAGCTTAAGTATAGGGGAATAAGAAGGTCAAGGAAGACATACTAGGAAGAACCGAAGAAAAGAAATTGGTGGGAGGGGGAGAAAGTAAAATTTTATTGTCAATGGAGAGGGAAGAAGGGAGAAAAACAATTTAGGGAGAGAGATGTTAAAGCTCATGATTAATAAATCTTTTACTCTTTTCTATCGAAATAATAGCTCACAATAATGGTCGGGTTAAAAAAATACCCCTTTTTAATTAGTTAATTGGAGTGGTGAACAGAAGATGAAAATGAGATAATTGTTAGAATAAAAATAAAACACTATACTCTCATATCTTGTTGGTTAGCTAAATTAAATATACATAGAGAAAAAAAAAAGGATTTGCAATTAGGATAACATGACAAAAAGTTCCCGGGAGAGATAATTTTAAGATAATTGAAGAATAATGGTAAAATGTTATAGTCAATTATTGATGCGAAAATTTATTTGTTATCCGATTTACATGTGATGACTTATCCAATTTAAAAGAGAGAAGATAAATTGATTTGGATTAGCGCTTTTTATGAGCTTGTATCGACCAGATGAAATTCTCATATTTTATCGATGTTTGGATTTAATACTTTTATCACCAATTGGGCTTTTTGGATGGAACTTTCTATGGAATTGTAAGTGGACAAAATTCTCTTACATGACCCAGTTTAAATGTACTAAACATTTAAAAAAAAACTTTAAATATTGAAAAAAGTATAATAATAATAATAATAATAATAACAACAACAACAACAATAATAATAATAATAATAAAAATAAAATAATAATAATAATAATAATAATAATAATAATAATAATAATAATAATAATAAGAGGTTTTTTTTTTTTTTTTTTTAATTTTTAATTTTTATTTTTAAGTGAGAAATATCTACTGCGTGACTGTGTAGTAATAGAATTTCATGATATACAATTATTTTAAGTAACCTTGTATTATTATTCTTTTATTTTTCTTAGAATTACCATATGATCTCATATTGCAGAATTATCTTCAATCTATAATGACTAGAATTGAAGAATGGAGGATAAGAAGAAGGGATACAGAGGAGTGGATGCAACATATACAACTACCAGAGGAACTTAGGGAGCGAATTCGGCGATTTGTTCAATATAAGTGGCTTGCAACAAGAGGAGTTGATGAAGAGTCTATTCTACAATCATTGCCCTTAGATATTCGACGAGAAATTCAAAAACATTTATGCTTGGGTCTTGTCCGACGGGTAAGTTATATTTGCTTAAGTATTGCATTTTCATATGGTTAATTAATGCAAAATTTATGCGTATGTAGATTTGCATTTAGCCATGATAATTAATTAAATTTGCTAGTTTGATTAAATTCAATTTGATAGTAAACTCCTCTAGTGTTAAATATTAATTGTAATAACTTAGCAATAACTTAGAGATCAATACAATGAGATACAGAATATATCTCACTAAACCATTTTGTTTTTATTAAGAAGATTATCCTAATTGGTTTACCTAATGGCATATGTTCCTTTTTGTAGGTTCCTTTCTTTGCACAAATGGATGATCAACTATTAGATGCTATATGTGAACGTCTAATACCATCCTTAAGCACCAAAGACACATACATAGCTCGAGAAGGAGATCCTGTTTCCGAGATGATGTTCATAATAAGAGGGCAACTAGAGAGCTCCACCACATATGGTGGTCGCTCGGGTTTCTTTAACTCTATTACTCTTCGCCAAGGCGACTTTTGCGGCGAAGAGTTATTAACATGGGCAATATTACCAACAACTACAACTCTAAACCTTCCATCCTCAACAAGAAAAGTAAAAGCCATCACCGAAGTCGAAGCATTTGCCTTACGAGCTGACGACCTTAAGTATGTAGCAACTCAATTTAAGCGTTTACAAAGCAAAAAGCTTCAACATTCTTTTAGGTACTATTCTCATCAATGGAGGACATGGGGAGCATGTTTTATACAAGCTGCTTGGCGGCGTCACCAAAAGAGGAAGTTGGCTGAAGATTTAGAAAGACATGAAAATTACTGCTATTATATTATGGATGATGATGATGATGAAAATAATGAGGATGAGATCATGTATAGTGAAGGTGACCCATTGATTTTCAAGCAGAATGATGAACACAATGATGAAGATGATGATAATAATAAACACAACCAACCACTTAAAGCTACAATTCTAGCTTCTAAATTTGCTACAAATACTAAAAGAGGGGCAAATCAAAAGGTGAAAATTGTTGATAGTTCTTCTCATCATGACCTAAAGATGCCTAAGATGTTTAAGCCAGAAGATCCCGACTTTTTTTGACCAAATAATATCATGTAATCTACAGTGTATTGTTTAATTAGCAATCATTGATTAATACCGAGGTAAAATTATTAAATTACCTCTCATCTATAGTGGTTAGTGTATGTAGTCTAATCGATAAACTAAGATTATTTTGAGCTATTAGGGAATGTTGTTTTTTACTTCTTTGTTTAATTATTACTTTGTATGCTTCACATGTTAATAATCATCATGAGAACTTCTCCATATGGTGAGAAGGGTGCAAGACAAGAGTGAAAAGGTGGCCGGGGCAGAACATCGAGTAGAAATATTCAAAAATAGGCCAATCTTATTTACTTATTAGCATCAAGAGGCATAAGACAGATGCATCAAGGCTTAGTGAAATAAAAAATTTAGAGACTTGGATGCTTTAAATTAAACAAGAAGTTGAATCAGTATTTATCTAATAAACAAAATAAACCTTATTAAAATAAGGAAAATTTGCCAAATGCAATCATTGAAAGTACTTATTTTGCTAATTGTAGAATTTTAAGAAAAAATATTGCAAATTGCAACATAAAAATTATTACTAACTTGTCAATTGATATCATTTTCCATTTTCCAGCCAAAATCGCTTGAGAATGACATTATAATTTTGTCGTGGTTCCTAGGTTTTGTTGGGCTTTGCAATATAAGACTACAAAGAGCTTTGTTGTAGAAGACATAAAATTGATTATTTGGGAAAGAGGGGATAGATTTGGGACATTTCACCACATAACTTGTTTTAAAAAAAATGTTGAATTCAAGGATGTAGGGGAGTCTTAACCCAACAATTCCCCTAGAAAATGCATTATTCTCCAAATGAAGCGTGAGTAGGTAGATCAAATGATCGATATTCGACAAGATTACATCGGATAAGATGTAGATCAAGGTTTTAGAGGAAGAAGATAAAGGTGATATGATGAAGGCAAGGAAGTTGTATGAAAAGTTGTAAGAAAGAAAAAAAGAATTTTGGGAAGTCATGTGGAAATGGATAAATCAGAAGAAGTTGTGCTTGAAGAAGAAAATGAAAGTAATGAAGTTGGGAAGATGTCGTAGAGGCCGGGTAGGATCGTCGAGGACGAGCTTAAATTAAGGATGTTGCTTTTAAAAGTGGCGGAGCTAGGAATTTTAAACTGGGGGATAAATGGACAACATTACATAGTTTGACAAAAATGTTGGAACAAATATATACTTAATTAGTTGAAGTTTTACAAATTTAAAAATTCAAAATATGGAGTACTTGTTAAAAAAAAACCAACATTTTATACAAATTCTTCTTCCATAAAAGTATTTGATTATGTACTTAGAATTTTAGAACAATTTGAACATTAAATAATATAGCTAATTAAATGTAGTACTTGTCATAATTCCCTATTACAAACGTAATTTGGGGTATTGTTCATGCAAAACTACAATTACAATTATTCAAATAATTTGTGGAGTAATTGTAAGGGAAAAAATAGGATTTTTTTTTTTAATAAAAAAAAGTGAAATGGTTACAATAAAAGTTGAACTGTCTCTTGAATCAAGCTCATTTAACTAACCATTAAGGTAAGAATTGATTGTTACAAGAATATTGCGAGTTTAAACTTCATATCTAGTCATTTTCACTTATTCAAAAATATGGAGTACTTGTTAAAAAAAAAACCAACATTTTATACAAATTCTTCTTCCATAAAAGTATTTGATTATGTACTTAGAATTTTAGAACAATTTGAACATTAAATAATATAGCTAATTAAATGTAGTACTTGTCATAATTCCGTATTACAAACTTAATTTGGGGTATTGTTCATGCAAAACTACAATTACAATTATTCAAATAATTTGTGGAGTAATTGTAAGGGAAAAAATAGGATTTTTTTTAATAAAAAAAAGTGAAATGGTTACAATAAAAGTTGAACTGTCTCTTGAATCAAGCTCATTTAACTAACCATTAAGGTAAGAATTGATTGTTACAAGAATATTGCGAGTTTAAACTTCATATCTAGTCATTTTCACTTATTCAAAAATAAGACTCTAAAATGAACGCCAGGGGGTTTGATCTCACGTTCTATGGCTCCACAAGTCATGCTTGCACCGTTGAACCATTTTGTTTGCAACAAATTATAATGCACAACCTAACGTATTTAAACTGATTTTTTTTTTAAAAAGTGGGGGGATAGCTGTCCCCCCTTGTCTCACCTTGGCTTTGCCAATGGCGTTTAAGTCTAAATATTCCATATATACCCCATGAAAATTGTAGTCATCGGCAGAGGATTTGAAGGCAAGTAAGGTTGTGTGTCAGGGTTGTTGAGCGTGGCAAAGATGTGATGAGAGTGGAGAAGAGGAGGGTGAAGTGTAGGGTTAGAGGTGGTGGATGGGTGGCTTGTTAGACATTGATGGTTGTGAATAGAAGTTAATTAATGTGTAGCCAATACAATAACAGAGTAAAAGTAGAAGAGAGGAGAAAATGAAAATGCACGATGTAATGAAAATGAGTGTTAATTACAAAATTAGATACTACCTCCGTTAAATGTTATGTGCAACTTTTGCCAAAAACGGATGATCAAGGTTATGTGCAACTTTTCATTTTCTTTCCTATTTTAGTAAATAAAAAAGCTTAAAAAGATTGATATACCCTTTCTTAAAAATCAGATTTGAATAAATAAGTGGGGTGGTCCCATTTTCTCTCTCCATTTTTTAAGTGGGGTGGTCCCATTTTCTCTTTCCCTCCTAATAAAATTAGATTTTCCTCACCCTTTTTTAAGTGGAGTGGTCCCATTTTCTCTATCCCCTTTCTTTAATTACTTCCCATTACACTAGCTAATCTTTGCCCCTCAAATTTTGCCTTGGTAACCGCAACCTCCTCTAAAGTTACACATAACATTTAACGAAGGTAGTTTATTCTATTTAGGTTGTAATAGCCAAAGTAGGTACTTAAGTTGGTTGCATTTGGTAAATTTTCCAAAATATAAATGCAAAAACGACAATTGATAAGAGACACGATTTCATAATTCCTTCATCTAAGCCCCTTTTTATTTTGGGGATATCTGAAATCTTTGGTGAAAACTTAAAATTGTGTAGCATTGTTGAGGTAAATATTGCTTTTTACCAACAAGTTAAATACTCTATCGTGTTCAAGAGTATTAGGGGGCTGCTCCTCGAGTTACCGATTTCAAAGATTGATAACCTTGCTAACGTAAAACAAACAAATAAGGAAGCTTTTCCAAAAGAAGTAAATTAAACAAGTTAGATTGCTCAAACAAATGAGTAGATATCATATGAAAAAAGATACAAATGCATTCCATTAATTAAAGGATAGAGTCAAGTCTACAAGTGTACAAGTTGAAGGATTGGTTACCTCCATGGTCATAAAACTGGAAAAGATGAACGATCTTCAATACATGCTATGTGATAAACTACACTATTGTTGGGCTACATAGCCAAGGGAAACTACAAAGACTAAGAAGAAAGCTTAAAAGAAATGAAACGCTTGCTGTTGAGTTATTTGCTAATGCCCTTCTTTCTGTCCTTGCGCTTCTATTTATAGGAAAAATGGATCGGTTATGACTGACTCCCATAACTGTTGTACGGTTATGCTTCTTGGCGTCAACACTTCTTTGAAAATTCCATTAGCCTTCTAATCCGGTTTATGTATTATTGGGCCTTAGCATGATATCAGCCCTGTGGCTGTTATGTTTTAATCAAACTAGCCCAAAGACCCTTCACCGACTCTAGGACTTCTTAACTTGGTCAAACTAAAGAAAGTCAATTAAAAAATCAAAAATCTGATTTTTGGGGTAACAAATGCCCCCCTTATTTGGATGGTTAATGGCGTTTGAAACCAATCAAATTATGACTTTCCAAACATAAATATAAAGCATTGTGTATGTTTAACTCTAAAAATACCAAGCATAGAATATAAACATTACTTAATATTTATAGAAATAGAATAATTGCAAAATAAGAGCATTTCAAAACTTATAAGTTTTGAATTGTGTACGCTCTTTTAACTGGACTTAAGGCCAAATATATACAGCGATATACTTATCTATAGAGATGCTTTCTAATATCTTGGGTCATCTTGGAGCGTTGCCAATGCCCTCTTCATTATAGGATATGTCAAGTAATCTTCAAAATCTCCCTCTTCAGCAGGACTTGTTAGACTCCAGTCTACAACGTTGTGATAGGCGATCGAATTATACCATCGCTCATAGGCACACCAATATTTGAGGACATGGGCCTCTCCTTTTGGTTCCCTAGTCACCTTAACGTGGTAATGGATACCATAACGGACTAACAACCTCTTCATGATCAGCCTGTCACATGTAAGGGGATGAATAGCTCTTACTTCTCGAGCCCAACCCTTGCATACTAACACAACATTTGCCTTTTCATCGTCTTCTTCAAGCTTGGGCAAGATTTGATTTCTGAGAAGATCAGCATCTGAACCAACAGTGAAAGCATTGGCAATGACAGGGCCTGCAGGGTCTCTTAAGATTACTGATCGCTCACCCCATCTCTTGTTAACTCTTCTGTTGAGCATTCTCCTATTCCTCTTTCTGTAGTTTTTAACCCATTTAGGATATCTATCGATGGCAAAATGATGATAGGGACAAACACCAGGATGTTTCAAGGATCCAAATTTCTCCATAAGATATTCGAAACTGTTCCTTAGCTAAAAAAACTGGCCATAGTGCAACTTCTTCATTTTGTGCTTGATCTTGGTCTTCTTTTTATTCCTCATTTTCTTGTGGAATTTCTTCTGGAATTATTTCTTCCATCATTAAAATACTTTTCAGTGAGTATCTCGAGAAATGGAACAACTTTGACAGATTACTACTAGAGAGAGAAAGCGAGAGAGAAAATAAAATTGACTTAGTGAAGAAGGAAGATTTTGAGTGAAGTGACTACTCATATTTATAATCACTCTTGTGTCACTCCCTTGATGGTTAAAATCCTCCATTACTTCAAGACATCATGGTAAAACCACGTAACACTCTAAATTCTTAAAAGTA